CATCACTGCTCCGGCTTATACCTGCAGCGGAGGTACCCACTGCCCGGTGTTGACGGTCGGAGCACCAAGCGTCAACTGAGTTAAAGCGCCTGCTCCGGAGGGGCTTTTATACCCCCCGGACGGTGGCGCGCGGGGTGAGGCGGCGGGGGCGGGCGCGACGTTGCCGGCTGCCGTCGACGCGTGGCAACCGCGCGTTATCGATTTTCTCGCCGGCTTCGACGCGGCAACCGCGCGTTATCGATTTTTCGCCGGCTGGCTCTATTGCCTTCTCTCTCGCTCTAGGAATTCGGGTTTTTTCTACCGGTCGCGCCTCCCCGGTCGCCCTCGTTACAACTCCATAAAGAAATATTACAATGCATGCAAATGATTGTTGATTACCGTAAACATGCTGGGGTTCCCGAAGAAAATCCTTATGTATTTGGCATAAATACAGTGGACAAAAGAAGACATGCATATTTTAGAGCATGTGTATTAATGAGAAAGTATTCTGCAGCCTCTGGAGCGAAAATACCAACTTCATTACGTGGTACAATATTGAGAAAACATATTGCTACAAAATGTATCACATTAGATATATCTGAAAATCAAATTAATGATCTAGCGGATTTCATGGGTCACCATGAAAAAGTGCATAAATCGCACTACAGACAATCTGTAGTCACGCGAGATTTAGCCATAGCACGATTGCTAAAATATGCTCAAGGAGAAAATGCAACTGATGAAAGTGATGATGAAGATGATGAGGACGACGGAAATGTAATCGATTTTGATAATGAAAATGATACAGCTACACACTCAAATATTTCCGAAACTGCATCAACACCAAGAAACGCTCATCCATACTCTACTAGACAAATGCGTAGTAAAGAATGTGAAATAAATATTAATAGAAAAGGTATGGTCAAGAATTTTTATATTTAATATTCTCATATGTTATTCTTTTAATTAGATATAACATTGATGTGAACGTATAAAATATTAACTTTTTTTGTTACTTTAGTGAATCCCGAAAAAGAAACAGTTTACGATAAGGAGAATATGATTAACTTAGACAATGAAGATAACCTAAACAGAAATTTAAATACTTCGAATATACCTATACCAAGAAAGAGAAAACAAACTAAAGGGATGGCTAACAATAAAGATGATATAGATAGTAATATGGAAATAAAAAAAAGAAAAGTGTGTTTAAACAATACCTATATAATACCATAATAATTTTGTTTTTTTTCTAATCATGCCTACAATTATCGTCTAAATGTATTAGATCAACATAATAATTTTATATTTTAGTATCTCCCTTCGGTTCTAAAAGGAGAACAACTAGTAGATCAGATGGACTGATGATGAACGCACAGCGGTCTTATCTTTCTTCAGTAATAATATAAAAACCAAAAAATTACCATCTTTTCATCAAATCAACGAAGCAAAACTTAAACATCCGGTACTGAAAAGTCGCACAAATGCTCAAATTAAAACTTGGATACATAACCAGGTAAAACAAAAAAATTAACATACCATTTAAAAAAAAGATCTCTTTCTCCTTTAAATACTTAAAAAATACCACAAAAATCTACAAAATTATTTTGAATTGAAAGAACAAATTACATTTTTGTTGAAACATAGCGTGTAAAACCAAGATTAGCTAACTTTGTTTACCTAAAAATACCAAAGTATTACTAGATTTTAGGAATTCTCTATAATGTTGTGTAAAACTTAATTTTCTTAAATACTGAAAGTTTATTGTCTAAAACTTAGTTTTCTTAAATGCTCAAAGTTTATTTAAGTTTATCATTTATCGGAGAATTTATTTGAATTTTTAAAAAATTTATTTTGTTAAAATAGTTTAACAACATTCAAATAGATATAAGAACAAGTTTAACAATGTTCGTATAGATATTTTCATTATATAGATGTAAGTTGAAATATGTCAAAGAAAACTGCGATACAAAATAGAAAATGGATTATATCTGTGTTAAAACACAGCAATAGGTATAAAATCAGACTTACGCGACTTTGTTTATCTAAAAATATCGAAGTACCTATTACTAGATTTTAGGAATTCTCTATAATGTTGTGTAAAACTTAGTTTTCTTAAATACTGAAAGTTTATGGTGTAAAACTTAGTTTTCTTAAATACTCAAAGTTTATTTAAGTTTATCATTTATCGAAGAATTTATTTGAAATTTTTTTTTGAATTTTTTTTGTTAAAATAGTTTAACAACATTCAAATAGATATAAGAACAAGTTTAACAATGTTCGTATAGATATTTTCATTATATACATAGATGTAAGTTGAAATATGTCAAAGAAAGCTGCGATACAAAATAGAAAATGGATTATATCTGTGTTAAAACACAGCAATAGGTATAAAATCAGACTTACGCGACTTTGTTTATCTAAAAATACCGAAGTACCTATATTACTAGATTTTCGAAATTCTCTATAATGTTGTGTAAAACTTAGTTTTCTTAAATACTGAAAGTTTATTGTGTAAAACTTAGTTTTCTTAAATACTGAAAGTTTATTGTGTAAAACTTAGTTTTCTTAAATACTCAAAGTTTATTGTGTAAAACTTAGTTTTCTTAAATACTCAAAGTTTATTTAAGTTTATCATTTATCGAAGAATTTATTTGAAATTTATAAAAATTTTTTTTTGTTAAAATAGTTTAACAACATTCAAATAGATATAAGAACAAGTTTAACAAAGTTCATATAGATAAATGTAGTAAATATTTTATACAACTATGAGTAAAATATGCCAAAGAAACCTGCGATACAAAACAGATTACATTTAAGTTAAAGCACAGCGATTTGTATAAAATCTTATCGAGGTTTGTTTACCTAAAAGTACTGAAGTATCCTTAAGTTTTACTATTGTTTTATAACATTGCTGATAACTTTGTATTTTATAAAGAATAAATGTTTATTAATACTAACACTGATGAACCCTATTAATTCGCACACAATCACTTCCCTTCGACGATAGTCCTCTTCTACCGAAATTAATACCCCGGAGATCCAAAATCCCACAGTAGCTTCTCCGATCCTGTAAAATCGAACCTGAAACAAAAAAGGTAAAGAGATCACAAGCAAATTACCGTTACAAATAAACAAATAAAATATAATTGTACCCAGAAAAGGGAGTAATTACCTGATATCTCGTCCTCGAGCCTTCTTGTTCCGCTCTCTCCTGGTCGAAGAGTCCAGCTGGGCCTCCAGCGCTAAATCCAGCGTCGGTCGTCCTGGCCGTTCCTACGGAAGGGTCGCGGCACCCGAAACACGCAAAAGAAGTTAATATTCGAGTAATGTAAGAAGTTCCACCTGAAAAGAAAAGAAAAATTAGAAGCCCAGTTCGAAACCTGAAAAGAAAAAGACCATTATTATTAGGATCCCCGCCATCCTCAGTCCTGAAACGTAGAAGTTGAATTAACCAATACACCAAATAAAGTAATACCATTAATAATATACACATAATTATACAGTTACTAAACATGAATACATACCTATTTACATTTCCCGGGCGTGCAGCATCCAAATGGAGCGCGCCACGCGCGCTTGACGAATAATCGAAGCACTGTAATGGTAGCTTTGACGACTATAGTTGCCAAAACACCCTTTACGTCGTCAAAATCTATACATTTCGTCATCAAAGCAACCATTATACTGCTACAAAGTGTATATTTTATATACACTGTAGTTGAAACTGCCACACTACGGTAGAAAGTGGTCCTAAATTCCGTTGTGTATTTTTCTTCATTTTATGTCGAAATAAAGAAAAATTTTTACGAAAGATCTCTTGTAAAGTAACTCATACTTTATACAGATATAAGATGGTAGATGTAAGTTGAAATATGTCATAGAAACCTAGCTGCGATACGAGAATAGTTAAGTCTTTATTAAAACACGTTGACACACGCACGT